ATGTGTGTATAGGGTGTGCATGCACGCACTAATACGCAAAATTTGACCAATTGTAACACGCAATGCACAAATGTGTGTAACCGGCATAACGAATTGCATACATCTCGTCCATTTGACTTACAATTTTTAATTTTAAGTTAAAATTAGCAAAAACGAATTTTTTTAACATTTTATATTCTAATGTTATTCACACTTTAAACATAATGTATGTTTATATACTCAGAAGTGGTAACAATGTTTGTGTCGCAGTGTATCAACACACACACATACAAATCACAAACAGTGTGTTGCTGCGTTTGTGTCCACAACATCCACACACCACACCATACACCCACTATGGTTGGACAATAACAGATGATCGAACTGTCGCTCCTCTCTATAATGAGGTGATAATGAGCCCAGGGCTAATCTGAACCAATGATCGGCTTGTTATAATGTGTTATGCGGACGCTCGCCGCGGCCAGTACGACGACGGCGCTACAGCAAACCAACAGGTAACACACCGCTCCAACCGATCCCCAAACACAAGTGCACACAACATCAACCAATATCTACTTATATTACAAACAAACTAATAAAAAATCACCATACCCACTTCAATAAACCACATTAAAAAGTGTCGGTCTATGTAAGTTGAAAATAAATTAAATAATATCAACACGTGATATTCGCAATTCGATTCGGTAGATGTGAGTGTGTAGTCCACGTGCGATGAACAAAGTGTGTATGATGCGATATGGACAAAAAGTAGTGCGTCTGTGTAAGTGCTGCAAATGGCCGCTACCGCCGCCTACGCAATATGCATCATGTGCAACGTAAGTTATTTTCTGTTTATGCGCACTCGCAATGTTTACGCGCCGAGAAGTCATCGCATCGCATCGCATCGCGGTGAAAAGTAAATGAAAGCGTACACATGATTGACACGCGTGTAGTACCTTTGCATGTGTATGAGTATGTGGGGGTGGTTGTGTGTTGATTGATGGATTGATCTAAGAACGTTATGTTTGGTGTCGTTGCGCGACGGTTTGATTTTCATTTTTTCCACGTGAAATTTTAGCGCAATCCGCAGCTCACAGCATTTTCTAAAATATATACAGGGTGTTTATAGATTTTTTTAATTAAAAAATATTAAATTTAAATTATTAAGAGATTTAAAGTAAAATTTGTGATTTTGTGATTTTTAAAATTTTTTGGGGTTTTGAGGTTTTATTTTAGGGGGAAACACTCAGTGTATGGTGCGGAACGACAAGCGTAGAGAGAAATATGTAGGAGAGTTCGTTCGTCGATATGGGCGCGTTTAAAACGTCAGTGTCAGCGACGGTAATGCGCGCGATTAAAGTGAAATATAAGGACTGCGGGATTACGGGGCGCCCCGAATCGAGCGAGCGAGCTCGCACACACGCATCGCAAACGTGCTGTGTGGGTACGGGCGGGCCCCGGTAATCAATCAATTTTGATGATGAAAATTATCATTCCGATGCTTTATTCATAATTCTATGGGAAAACCTATCGGACTATCGACGGCGCGGCGCGGTCGCACGCACAAAGCCCGTCGCCCACATCTAGCCTCCCCCCGACTACATACCTGCCTGCCGCCACCATCATGCCACACACAACACACACATATACACAAATACACACACGCCAGGACGAAATGAAACGCGGAATTGGAATGAAAAAGCCGCGAACGGCCAGAAAATAAGCAAACAAACAAACACGACGCGAACGCAAACGCTAATACCGTACGCACACGCGGGCACGCAGATTTCGTCCATTTTATTAAACACGCGCTGCGCCGGGGCAAGCGCACGCTGCTGTCAAAATGGTGAAGCGCTCGGCAAAAGCAGTGTTTACTTTGCGCGTTTCGGCTATTTTTAATGCTTGGAACCTGCTGACAAATTTGTAATTATGCTGAGCGGAGCGCAAAGGTGTGTGCGTGTGGATATAGAAAATGCGTGATACACAAAAACGCGTTGGGAAAGGTTGCGTCGCAAATTTATATAACATGCGCCGAAGAAAAACACTGACCGTGAAAATAAAAACCCGCGCTGCTGCGAGCATCAGGTCGCGACCTACCTCAAACTTTGCGGTCGGTTTGCACAACCCGCCAGGGTTTAAAATTAGATATCACGTGTCTACCCTTTTTTTTCTACCCGATTATACAATGTGCAATCAAAAGAACACGAATAAAAATATTTCTTATTTAATTTATTTTTATGTGTGAATAAGTGAAGAGGAAAACAATACGCTGACGCGTCTTTGGTGGCGTCGTGGGCGGGTGGCGTATACGCGCTAGGCCGAGTCCACGTGACCGGCGCCTCCACCAATGGTGGAAGCGCCGGCTGGCGACGCGTATCGACTTTTAGCGCGCGCGGGGCCCGCCGCCGCTGCCGCACGCTTGCAGGCGCGCCGCATGTCTATGCCGCCGTCTTCGTTTTCGTGGCGCTTTTATTTTCTCTTGCTTCGAACCGCGCGCGCCGGCGCCCCGCCAAAATATGGAATTATGGACCTAGTTTTAATAGGTTTTGTTTAAATTATTCAGGGACTGCTTACATTAGGACCGAAGCTCCCCGGGGCGGGTGGTGCGCGCGCGCTGCATATTCTGCAAATATCTGAGAAAACCGTTAGACGATGTCTAAAGCAGCAGCCGCAGCAGGAGATAGAGATAGATTCCGAGCACACGGAAATTATCTTTCAACGTTACATATTAAATTCTCTCCGCGGCGCTACGTTGACGTTTGTGTGTGCAGGCGGCCAGCTTATGCACGAAGTATATACTTAAATTATTACTCGGTCGAGTTGCTTGCCCGTGTTTAATGTTAGTTCCGCTGCCTGGCAGCCAAAGTCGTTTCTTTCCTCTTTCCCTCCTCACTGCTATCCTTCGACCCGTTTTCTCATTTGGTCGCTTTCCCCTAATGGCTTGGAGCCTTTCTGGCTTGAGCTTAATTTTGTTTGAAATTACGTTCAAATTGAATTTTCTTCCTCGTGCTTTCTTTCTGCGTCGAGTTGTGACCTCTTAATGGTTTATTTTATAATTAACATTTGCGTGCCAAGCGCGAGGCTTGGATAATATTAGAATATATACCTGTGCACATAGATTCAACATTTGATACAATTGAATATCAGTGAAATAACAAGTGAATGTTATTTCACATCGTTTCGTTCCATATCATTTCATCCATACTCTTATTGTTATTGTATTTCTTGGAGTGTGTTGTGCATGGTGCGCATGAATAATTCAGGCGTTTGGTTGGCGAAAATCATGATGGCTTTCTGTGCATTTGGGCGATAAGGTTTGTTTGATGGCGACTTTGGTTTGCAAGCGCAGACGACGGCAGTGTTCTTGCTCGCGTGAGCGTGACAGTCCTCATGAATTTGAAGGGAACAAAACCCACCAAGGAGGGTGGTTTGATAAACTAAGGGGGTGGCATGTTCACCCCTTATATATTCCCTTCAAACCCTTCTAAAATTTTGCCAAATGTGAACGGCCTTCTGCCAAAGCAAATATTTTTTCTTATTTTTTATCCTTCAACTTTCATTCTTTATTCTTTGCAGAAACAAAAAATATTTTCTGAACACATTGTATATCAGTTTAGATTTCCACTATAGTAGATGTCTAAATCTCTGTAGATGTTTGATGTTGGCGAAGCGCTCATGTTAAATTCCATACCAAGCTCCTTTTACCCATGCATCTTGCTCGCAAGCACGCAACCCAACTCACACCTATAACTGTAGATGGGCAACCCTCCTCACTACAATCTCGCCAGCGTCCTTTCGCTTTGCCAATGCGGCCAGCGCTCGGTCTCTTTGTGCTGTGCTTGGAGATATCGGGCGCGGCGCGTAAGGATAAGGAAGAGGACGTCGAGAAGGATGCATGCACAACGTAGGTACTTTGGCAGGCAAACACTGCCGATGTTGGGCGAGGAGCAAATTTTATCGGCCACCCTTTTCAACTCTTCCTCTCCGCATGTTCTCCAACAAACTCCTAAACCTCTTTCACCCTCCGCACGCTCATCGTGCTCTCTTATTTCGCACTCCTCCTTCTTCGGCGTTGGCATTTCAAGCGGGCGGCCGCCACGAAATTCTATGCCTTGATAATTAAAACTTTGTGAATTCCGTTGATGTACTTCGGAACCCGGCGCCCGGGCGCGCATAAAGGAAAATTAAATACATAAATAATGTACACACTATATAGATATAGACTATATAGACTCTTTGCATCTATACATCGCCGTCATGTAAAATATAATTCGAACCCACGCCGCGTGCTTGGGATCCGCGCGACCCAAAAGTGAAAAGCGCTTTTCTATGCGATATTTTGTATTGTCTCGGGAATGAACCTTTCTATTTGCGCGCGGAGGATCTAAAAGCTACCTCTCATACCCAACACACATACATTCATACAAAATACAAGTCGATAAAACGTTCATTATCTAAGAACGCATTTCATATTCCTTTCTTTTGTTACCACAGCTTCTGTACCATGAGTAAAACTCCAAGGAAACAAAAACTAATAGCATAATGATTCGCGTGAGACCTTGGTTTAACCGTCTTGGACACAAGCATAAAATTTGAATAAATTTTTGATTACAAATCTACGCACATCTCATTTAAATATAAAAAAGAACTGAATCAACCTGTGCGCGATTCACACGCTCATCCTCCTTGCATGCACAAAGTCGCGCATATTTTAATTTCAATATAAAAAGCGATTTCCCCAAATAATTCACCCCTTAATAGCTGGACACGTAAGTGACCATCAGTATTCTATACAAAATTGTATTCAACGTAAGAAAGATAAAGAAAGGGATGCTGCCGAAGCTTAAGAACCGGTTATCTCAGCTTATTCTTTCGTAACCCACTCTTATAAAATTAGAACGAGACATTCAATATGCCAAGCCAAAAAAGAAATACACGAGATGAATCGAGCGAAGTGAGGGAAGACGTCCGTGAAGAAATGACCATCGCGACTTGAAATCAGTTGCGTCGCGAGACTGATCTTGAGCTATTGCATATTTACAATATTTGATACAGTTTTTTATAGTGTATATTAATGTTTTTCGGTATATTGGTGCAATATTGATTAATTATTAATACGTAAATATTACGGCGAAATTATTGCAATAATCGCGAACGTGTCGCGTTTTATTCGCGCGATTTATTTTAATAATGAACATGTGAAATATATTGTGAAATTGTGTATAAAATGTGTTGCATGCGCAAAATAATAAAAGAGAAAGTGATTTGTTAATAATTGTGTCAATTTGTGAAAATGAAAATTGTGTCTGATTGCGTAGATAATTTGCAATAATGTGGTAAAAGTGTTTTTAATACACAAGTGCCGGGATAACCTTGGGGATAAATATTATTTGATAATATTTCTTAATATTTAAATAATCGGTATGTATATTAATACCTATATATTGCAAAACTTTAATTAAACTGATTTTTCTATTGCAAAAATGCAAAAATATTATTTTTAAGACTTTTCGAAGTAAAATTTATTTTCTTTGATAAAATCTAGGCAAAGTTAATTGCAGAATCTAAATATTTGAAAGATTAATTCATAAAAATTCGCAAAAGAAACTTTTAAACAAGTTTTCGCATTTTTTTGCAAAAATTTTGCATTTTTTCACTTTAATTGCTAATTATACGTTATACGATAATCTGATCTAGATTTTTTTACTTAATTAGACATACAATTAAGCGTATAATCCAGTTTTAAAGGAATTAAAACTTTAACCCAAATATTTTTGCCATAATCAATTAATATATAAACTTTTCACCCTATATACTACACCTACTCTATCTACTATATCTACTACGTGATAAAAATATCCAAAACACAAAAAATGCCTTCCAGGTTTCATATTTATATTTTTAAAACAAAATTTAAATACCTGCTAAACACCTTCTCGGTTTCGTCTTGCTGGAAGTCGTGTTGTGTGTGGTGTGTACGGCGGTCTGTTTTCCTGGTCCTGCAAAAACACGAAATAAACATATAAGTATACTAAAGCTCATGAAAAAGATGGAAAGCTAAAAATTAATAATTATGTTGTTTACGTTTCCTGCATAAATATCCAGCTCGCAGGAGCCGCAAAGTATGCGCACACTTGTGTTCTTGCGTGTTCCGTATACGTATATGTGTACCGAGTTAATTTCGCCGAATAACAAAATAACCCAACACCTGAAGAACAAACACGCCAGCTGGCGACCGAACATAAAACAGCAACAAGCGCAAAAGTTGTATTCGCCATTCAACGAAAGAATAAAAGTAGAAAACATTATTCTGCGCTATATTTACGCTACGTATTTAATCATACAAAAATGTCACGTGGAAGAAAATAATTTAAACTGTAATTTCATTCAAAAGAAGAAAATTTTTCATGAAAAAAATTTTCTTAAATTTTTTTTCTTGACTTTATTTTTCGTGTGTTTCGAATAGCAGTAGTATTGAAATAAAGCGAGCCAGAACAAAATGGACGCTCACTCGGCGTGGGCCTGATGGGCGTCGCGACGCTCACGCAAGAGAGAATAAGGGCACATACGCGACGGCGGTTCTCCGACACGCGGCGCTGATCAATAATGAACACTGCCGTTCGCCATGGAGCCCGACCGCCGCTCAACGTCGGCGACGAATGTCTACGACGATAATAATGAAGGAAAGTGCTTTGACTAGAAATTTCCTTCTATTATTTATAAAATTTAACTAAATCCGCAAAACACTCAAAATGAAATAATAATAGGAAAAATCCATTACTTAAACATTAAAACATAAAAGAAGAGAAAAAAACTTAACAAAAAAAAAAACATCAATTCATCTAGTTATAGATGGAGTCCCGTAGTGGGCTTGGAAAATCGACGCGTCATTATAAATGCACAAAAGTACGTGCCGCTGACGTTTCGGGGCACTAATAGCCTATCAGCTTTTTTTCGGGCGCAGCCTCACACTTTCCTCTCACGTTTCTCGCGTCCGCCCGGCGATGTGATGCGATGCGATGTCGATGATGATGATTTTTACGCGCGGCATGCTCGCGCGTCCCGTACATAAATCATAAATTTTCCGGTACGCTGATGACCGACGACTCCGCCAGCAACACACTGACGCGTCGTGCCTAGGAATAGGTTTGATCGGTCTGTGATCGCCATGTGATCGGTTTTCGCCATCAATTCCATCAAACACACACAACCCACACTCAGAAATAAAAAAATAACGCAATAAAAAATAAAATAAAAAATAAACAAAATCAAGAGTTATTGGTCACATTGTCAGTTCTTTGAACCCGATTAAATCGGATTCAGAACTGCAGCGCTCTCGTTCCATTCATAAGTTATTAATCGATCCGACCTTGACATTTTTTCCGAACGGGAACGCTCACACTTTCATACCCCTCCTCGGTCAGAGAGCTGTGGTGAGCGTGGAAAGCGTCGAACTGCGTGTGTGTGTGTTGAATTTTTTTTCCTGTTCGGTTGGTTCGATTCCAAATGCATCGCGCGCGCATGTTTCAAGTTCGGCGTTCGCGAACCCGTCCTTCGCCAACACAGCACACAATGCTCGCGGACAAAAAAATGGAGAGGAAAAGTGTGAAAAAATAACAACGGCCAACAACGTGATGAAAAATAATACTGATTGACACTGAAATTCTTTTCTATATCAAACAAACACGTCGCGAAAAAAAATTTTGTAACAAAAAAAAAGTTGTAATACTTAATTGTTGTGTGCCTTAAAAATTAGCCGCGCGCGCAGGTTATTTCATTTGGATTACGCAAATAATCAACACAAAAGAAATTTGCACTTCTTTGTGGAGTCGGGCGGGCGCTCGCGCAGATATGGGCTTTAGTGAACTCGGTGAACTTTGTGCTCGTTTGTTTCTTTTATTGTTTGTCTGCGCGCGCGGTGTTATTTTAGATTTGTGCATTTGAAATTTGCAAATTGGATTCGTACTGTTTGAAGTGAGCGATACACTTGCTTTTATCGTTCTTGCAGGTTGTTCTTTGGAATCGTTTGCGTTTTGTTTTATTTTTCATTCTGGGTGCGCGCACAGAATTAAAAATTATATCTTTGTGAGTTTGTTGATTCCCGCTTTTTTTTGCGCATTTTCAGCGTATCGGGGCATCAGCATATCATCAAAAATGACGTTGATGATGAAAGGGGTTGTTGCCGTGGCGTATGCACGTTGTGTTTTGTATTTTCGGGCGTTGTTTTGTCTGCGCGGCGGCTTTTAATGCCAACACGCGCGCGCGTCGTTTGTCTGTGCGGATTTACTCTCCAAACGCAAAGAACTCGTCACGATTTGTTCGAAAATTGACATTACGCAAATGTATTCCTTTTTATGCAACCATCAAAAAAAGATACAATAAGAAGTAGAAAGGGTGGTGAGTGATTGTCAAACTAAAATTATGAACCTTTATCAACGTTTTTCCAACGATGCAACTAATGCTACTCACGCTGATGATAATAATAATAAACGCCAAGGGTGCAAAAAATGTGGAATGCATAGACAACGAGCGGTCCTCCCCGGCTGGGTCCTAGACTTTTGCATAAACAGGCCGGGTAGCGCAGGCACGAAATTTCGTCGAATTTGCATGGCGTAATGAAACCGCCGCGTATCGCCTTTCCTCTCTTTCGGGCCAAAAAGAGGTCGTAGGTGCAAAGAGGACGGTGCCCGATGTAGCAGTGCCTCGGTAATCCGACCTACGGGCAACTGCGCACAGCCACCACACACATGTAGGCAGAGATAGCCGACGCAATAGGAAAAAACATGTGTCAGACGAACCTGGAAACATGCATGTTTCATGCGGGGTGGCTCCCCACGCTGGGGTCGCGGGTGCTGGCGGGGGGAGTGGCACCTTGGGGAACGAGGCAAGGAGGAGGGACTCAAGTTGCAGGCGCGGACGAAAGTGGAAGAGAGCACGCAAGTCATAGGAAAAAAAGAAGCAAGTGGGGGAAATACAGGACTGCACGTTCGGCACGTAGCGGCAAAGATGGAAGGGAGAGCGAGACTCGTCCACAGGGCACGTAGTGGCAATGATGAGGATGAGGCGCAAAGCGGGCACGAAGAGGAAGCACCGTGCGAAAGGGGACGACGAAGAAGCGGCCCGCGCGCGATAAGACAAAAAGAGATATAAATACAGCATGCGCGTACTGTTTTGCATGGACCGACCGGCAGCAGGACCCTTGTGTGCCCGACACGAGAGCGGACGAAACGGACGAAACCTGCGAATCGATCCTTGGACGAGCAAAATGGCTTCGCACACGCACACAGCGACGTGGAAAACCCAGCTGGAAAACGGCGTTAAGGACGCACGCCGCACCGCCCGTCCATTGCAAATTCAACCCTAAAAACGTAGCGGATAAAGGCTGCACATTGCCGCCGCCGCCGATGCTGCCTCGGCCGGCACACAGCTCTCCAGTGTGTGCTCGTAGAGCGGGAGCCGACTCGAATCTGGAAAAATCGGCTCGAGCACTGAGCACCACACCGCCGCCACCAACGCCACCGGGCAACGGCAGCAGTACAAAGGTGGGGGCCGGCAAGGCGCATATTCGCCTGCCGTCGCCGCATGCTCGCCGTGCGTTTTTCCTGCTCAAACAGACCTAAACGTTCTCCGCCAGCGGGAAGGGTGAGCGACGCGGGGTTGGAAAAACTATCAAAGCCAAAACCCGCGCCCGCCGCCACTGTCGAAAAATGTGCGTACTTTGACGTGAATTAATGTGCGTTGCGTACATTCAACTATTCTACTATAATTTCACGAAACAAAAAAAAACGCCGCGTTTTTTGATCGCCAAAAAATTAAAATTAAATTAAATTAATTTAAAAAACACCCGGAAAAAATCAACAAATGATTTAATTATCCATTTGTAAGTTAAGAGCATCCAACCACCGAAGCACTAATGAGCACTTCATCAGCATCGACTTGTTCCGATGATTAGTCCTTTTCAGTTTCCGTTGTGGCGCTGTTGCCGTGTCTCCTTCACGTTTCGTTCGCATATATCCACCAACCACCACTTCAATTTCATATAATTTCACGCGCATGCTGCCCACTCAAGCAATACGGTAATTACTTTTAATTAGACGCCTTTAAGCGCCATAATTAAACAACTTATACACATGCACAGAAAATAATAATAAAAAGCGCAACTTCTCACAATATCTGCGAATGCATGCAAGCGACAAACGAAAACTATTAATATCATAACGAATGGCTTGTAATGAATCATTCGGCGCAATACGAAACTTATTACTTTAAATGCGCAGCGTGTGCCAGAGTGAGAAAAGCGGGCAAGTTGTAAAATGTTCGCGCATTGAATCTAATGAGTTAGACGCGCGTTTATTCATCGCCCAGCGCGCTTTATAATAATATTTCTAGTCGTATAAGAGTTGGTAATTGTTAACAACGTA